CCCCCCCCCAACGCTTGAAGCCGCCAGCCTTGTGAGGGTTGGCGTCTTTACTTTTTACAAGAAACCCAGCTTGGAAGTCTTGCTTAGGAAGACTGAGGGGAATATGGATTTTATTGTCATTAGCCAGGAGAGACAATTACTATTTTTGCTTTAGAGGTTGAGGTGAGGAATCTCTTGTAAAAGTCAGTCCTTAGGCATTAGAAAAAAAAAAAAAAAAGGCTCGTTAAGTTTAAACACTGGTTGTAGTCGTGGGTGGACCTGTAGTAGGTTTATAAGATGAATAAAAGCCATTATTAAAACAAACAAGTGTGCACGTGTCAGTGTTTTCACCAACACAGCTTCAGGTGGTGGTGAAGATTGCCTGTACCTGAAATATTTGAGCACTCGTGTCTTCCAGTCCCACTGTGTATCCTTGAAAGTGGGGGGTTTGGGTGGGGGGGGGAACAGGACGGGACGACAGTTTTCCTGTTGCTGTTTAAAGCTTCCAAATTCAATATTTCTGTTCCACAGATGTTGGGGAAAAAAACCCCGAATGTTCTTGGCAGGTGTAGAACTCCCGGAGTTACGTGGCTAACGGATTTGTCTTTATTGAAAAATATCTGCCAAGGACCAGCCCTACAACCCCAGCCCGGCGTTTAGAGTTCGTCTGTGACATGGGTGCAGGAGGCGATGTCCGGGCGTGCTTGAGTGGCCCAAACTTGTGGCATCTTAAGCACGAACGGTAACAGGTATAGAGGGGGAGAGGGCCACAGCCTGCCTGGATCTAAAATTCAGGCCCTCTGTAGGGGATACACTTTATTCCAGAGCTAAAGTAATTTTTGTAACTTCACTTGGGGGAGACAGAGTTCAAAAGTTGCAAGTAACAGAAGGAATATGGGAAACTTCAGATAATGGAATTGAGTTCTTGATCACCTTGGTGTTTGCCATGTCTGTAGCAGATTGCTCCAGCTGTAGGTTAGAGAGAGCTCAGTCTGTGTTTGTGGGATCAACTCAACAATTTAATTCCTTCTTCTGTTGTAGATTCTGAAGTTCATTCAACAGGCTGCTGTTGGTTTGTAATTAAATTCCAGTTTGACAAAAAATTCACCTGAGCTATCAGATTTGGGCCCCTCACTACAAGAAGGATGTTGCGTTGCTGGAGCATGTCCAGAGGAGAGCCACAAAGCTGGGGAGGGGTCTGGAGCACAAGGCTTATGAGGAGCAGCTGGGGGAGCTGGGGGTGTTCAGCCTGGAGAAGAGGAGGCTGAGGGGAGACCTGATCGCCCTCTACAACTGCCTGAGAGGAGGGGGGAGCCGGGGGGGAGTCAGCCTCTTCTCCCAGGGAACAAGCGATAGGACAAGGGGAAATGGTCTGAAGTTGCACCAGAGGAGGTTTAGGTTGGACATCAGGAAAAATTTCTTCCCCGAAAGGGTTGTCAAGCACTGGAAGGGGCTGCCCAGGGAAGGGGTCGAGTCCCCATCCCCGGGGGTATTTAAAAGCCGGGCAGACGAGGTGCTTAGGGCCAGGGTTTAGTGGTGGGATGGCAGGGTTAGGGGAACGGTTGGGCTTGATGATCATAAAGGTCTTTTCCAACCTAAATGATTCTGTGATTCTATGTCTTGTTTCTCTACTTAAGATAGCCTCGTGCTGCGCTTCTGCCAGGGTGCTCTGCCGTTTGCTTTGTTCGCTCTCTGATCCTTTCTCCACGATTTATTTTTAGTAGTGCTTAGCAAACGATTAAAAATTACCACGAGGTGTTTGACTTGAGAGATTCCTTCGGTTTCTTCTGGAAATTTGTGGGCTATTTTTGGCGCTCAGCCGGCGGGAGATGAGGCGTTTGGTATTTTAGCAGTTAAGCTGAAATGCTTGAGCAAGAGGATGAAACTGCAACGTGATACAGTGGAGTCCTAAAAGCTTAGCTGGGTCTTGCTTGCTGCTAATTGTAATTTAAGCTTGCAATTCAAAGGCTGAAAGCAATGTTTGCCTAAGAGAGGAATGGGAAAATAAAAATCCAGTTTCTGTAGGATTCTCCGTTCCAAGTTGCAGTTTCTAATTGTATGCTCATAGTTTTCGTGTTCATTTTTTACCCCACTCAGAACTGCATTGACAACCGGAGCCGTGCATGGCAATAGTGTATGTAGTACGTGACCAGAAAACTGGACTTTTCAGCCTGTTCTTTTATCTTCGGAAAACATGCTAAAGCCAGCTGTAGTAACTCGAAGAGCTGCACGCTTTCATTGGTGGGAAAACCAATTTGCAATCTCGCTAGCTTAAAAAATAGTTCTACCTGTGTACGTACCTGCCCTGCATCACCCCGACGGGCTTTTGAGAACTCAGGGCTTCATCCTCAAAAATATCTGCAAGCCAGAGGGATCTAACTTCTCCAATGGATTGAGGGACACAGATCGAAACTAAAAGCTTTAGACTTCATGTCTTTCATCTAGCTAGGTTCAAAGTCTGTATTTGTTGCCCAAAGAGAAGCAATTTGATTTCCCTGCGCACCCCCCCCCCAATATTTAATGCCCATTAACTTCAGTTAGAGCAATTGGTATTAAAAAAAAAAAATCCCAAATTGGTGTCACAACATAATGATACCCAGTGCATGTAGGTGACCTGCTAATGAATCCAGTGGATTTGTGGATTTTTTTTTTTTTTTTTTTTTGCTTTTGCTAATATTAGGGTGAATAAGGGGAGATTTTAATTTCTTTTTGCTTTAAGGCATTCAGTTGTGCTTGAAGACCAGAGATTGTCAGCAGTGTTTGTCATTAGTGCAGAAATGTAGAAGAAACACTACCAAGTCCTGCGTTTAAGTAGTTTGAGTATCGAAATGCAAATATTTGTTGAGGTTGTAACTTCAGTAACTCATTTAAACGAGTGTCTTGTTTCAGCCTCGTCGGAGTGGGGCTGGGAGGCAGAGCGCTGCCTGCCTCTCTGCCGTTCCCCTTCCTGGCTACTGTGCGGGCGAGCGTATGGCTCGAGCGAGCAGCCTGGATGGATCACGAGAAGTCTAAAAGTTAATTTTCAGGAGTGTTTTTTAGGGCTGGACACACTGGATTCTTTATTCCAACAGAAGCTGAAGCCAGGAATCAGTTTTTCATGTGTTTCCTCCTCTGTGGCTGCTCACGTTGATGCCTGCTTGCCCCGACCTCGCTCATCCAGAGACGCTGAAGGAGCGATGAGGTGCAATGAGCTGACGTTGAGCACATCTGCCCATACGAAGCAATTGCGTGATGTGAAATTCAGAAAGCTGCCAAACCATCAACTTAATTTGTTGAGCGGAGAGCGGAGCGAGAGTCGAGCAGATCTCTCTTTGTGGAGAACCTCCGAAGCAGCTGCCGAATCCACCCTGCAGCCGCAGGTCAAGCTCAGACGGATTGCCCACCCATCTACGTGTCGTGGATTTCTAGCCCGCCTTGGCAAAGGGCAGGACAGCCGCTTTGAGGTCCTTCTCGGTGCATGCGACTCGAGCTTTTGGGCTCCAGCACCAGCCATTGATGAGTAGTGGGGGCAAAAATTGGCACCCGGGGAATGCCCCGGAGGTGGGCTTCATGCTGGTCCTGGCAGGGAGGGGGGGTGCAGAGCCAGCTGGGAGGATCCAGCGGGCTTCAGAAGCGATGCAGGGTGTAGCTGAAAGGAGGAGAAAGATGAGGGTCTGCCTTTTATTTCAGGTAGTAAGCAGTTTTAGAAAATCAGGTTTTTCCTTTCACTTTGGATTTAAAAAACAAAAAAAACCACCTTTTAGGAGGGTCAGTTTATTGGAATGGCTTGGGATAAGGACACGCTCCTGTAGCTTTTTTCCTTTTTTTGATACATGAAGAGAAAGCAGTGTTGCTTCACCTTAGCTGAAGTAAATTGCATTGACATTTTTAGTAAGTAGTTTTATGCCACATATGAAGTAGTAATAGTAGACATTTAAAAGCAGATTTACTTGCACCGCTGTCACATCACAGCAGGTTCAGATTGCTGTAGTTAAGGCTGTGTCAGCAGTTGTGGCTTTCTGTGGTGTAAAACTGTGCTGCTGAGGGCTTTTGATTCATGTTTTTCCATCGTGTGGTGCAATATTATACATATTTAACAGGCGGATCAGCATCACTTTCATTTATGAGTGATGTGGGCTATGATTCTTTGTATTCTTCAAAAGCAAGTAATCTCAAGGTTCGTATGAGCTTGCTTGTTTGTCTCGAAGAAAGAACTTCTGGAGGTGCTGTGTTTTGTCTGGTGTGCGGTATGGGTGACCGAGTGCCCCCCAAGCAACTTCTGGGAGCGCGTCTGGGAAGAGCAAGTTCAATACCGTGCTCTGATCGAATTCAAAGATTTCTCGGTTATTCTAGCTTCAAATGTCTGTGCATGTATTGTCTTGAAAGTGCTGGTGCATACCAGGCACCTCACCTTGTGAGTAATTGCTTTTAGGGTAAGATCTCGTTTAAACGTTCGAGTGTGCTTGCTCTATTTTGGGGATTGAAGGGAAGAAATTTGCAATTTGAATGGCTTTATAATGACTGTGATTGTTTCAGTTGTTCTAAATCAATCACGCTTGTTTCTTCCATGAAGCTACAGCACTTGCATGCACAAGCAGCCACCTGATTTGTGGTGTTTGGAGACATTCTTAAGTGTTTTGTTAATACAGGTGCCTACATGGCAAAGCTGGAGCAGTGGTTGGGGGAGGGAGGGAGAAAGCTTAAAAATGAAGTGACCTAAAAGAGGAGGCCAGCGTTTTTGTATTTGGGGTTTGTTCTTCTGGATTATTTAAAACACCAGCACTCACAAAAATTTCCCCCTGTGGCTTGCCAAGACCTGGGTTCGGGATTAAGTGTTGCCCTGTTGCAGCCGAAAAGTCGCGCGTGAGGCTGCAGCATCCTCGGCTGTTGCCTGGGGGACTCTGGAGCCTGGATCTGGCCTTGGCAGGTAACGGAAGGAGAAGTGATTTCAACTGCAGGTAGACTCTGAACTCCAATAAACAGCACTCCAATGCTTTTTGTCCTCTTCCCCTGACCCACCGGGATAATGGGCATCTACACAGTGTTGTTTTTTAAATAGGTATTTAACTCTCATCAGGTTAGAACTTGGTAGGCTTGAATTTTGCTTTGGTGCTGCTCTGAGTTTTTCCTGCAACCATACGAAAGTCACCGGCTTGTCCCTGAGCACCAGCTGTAAGAAATTATTTAAAAACCCTACACCTTAAGCCCTTGCAGCAGCTTGGCATTGGCACTGATGTCTTTGGCACCCCTGAAGATTCAATGCTGGCTTTAACTTTAACTCATAGAAAGGGCTGTCAGGCACTGGAATGGGCTGCCCAGGGAAGGGGTTGAGTCCCCATCCCTGGGGGTATTTAAAAGCCGGGCAGACGAGGTGCTTAGGGCCAGGGTTTAGTGGTGGGGTGGCAGGGTTAGGGGAACGGTTGGGCTTGATGATCTTAAAGGACTTTTCCAACCTAAACGTTTCTATGATTCTATGAACTTTCTGGGCAAGCAGTGGACTGCGAGCTTTTGTCTCTGTATTGTATTCAGTTTTGGTAATAGGAAACCAATGCCATCAGTGTTCATTTGAATGTTGAAATTAAGCGTTATATTTTTTTTTTTTTCAATTTGTATCTTTCCTCTTGCACTCAATCTGTCCGTGACTTCCAAGTCTTGAGCAAGGCTGGTGCAGAGGGTGCTTTGAAACACAGAACTTTGCTCCTCTCTGGGCCTGCACCATGTGTTGCCCTTGCAAGGCCTCTTGGCCGCAAGTGGGCTCTTCATTTGCCCAAGGAATTTGTTCCTGGCTGCTGTTGCTGCATTTTCTCAAGTCCCTTAGAAAGGTTTGGACTCTCCATGCTCTCTTAAATGCTAGGATATTGGAAATATAGTGGGCATAAAACTTTCTCAGCAGTACATGGGAAGCAGCAAGTATCTCAGCAGGTGGAAGATCTGTCCTGTTGCCTGAGCACATTGCTTCTCTTATCCAGACCGTCAGTGCTGTCCACAGGCAAGGGTAAAATGAGTCTGATTAAAACAAAATCCCTTTTTCAAACCTGCCTTCGTGTTTTGTTTCTTGTTGGACCTTTCATGCAGGGTGTACAGACCACTTGCGTTTACAGAGATGAACGAGTATTTCCATTTGAAGTGTAGGAATTAAGGTAGCTTCCTAATAGAGCCAGGAATGAACTTGGGGCTCTTCAAAAATCAGGATAAATCCTAATCCATGGAACATATATCCTGCCATATCTGTCAAATGGCATTTCAGCCCCACTGCTGTTGAGCAAATGTATTGAATAAAGCAGCGTAGCACCATATTTATTTGGTTTGTGGGGGTAGTGCTCATGGCCTTGAACCCTTGGGTAGCCTTCAGGAGGTTGCAACCAATGCTCATCTGAAGGGCAGCGTGCAGGGCGCACACTCTGCGGGCTCTGAAGAAACCTCCTGCGGGATGCGAGTTGGGTTTGAGCACAGATACCTCGGGTTCCGTTCTCTCAGAGTGATTTTTTTTTTTCTCTCTCCCCCCCTCTCTAGGTATGGCTTTGTTGAGTTTGATGATCTGCGAGATGCAGACGATGCTGTTTATGAGCTAAATGGTAAAGATCTTTGTGGGGAGAGAGTGATCGTTGAGCATGCCAGAGGCCCACGTCGTGACAGCAGTTACGGTTCTGGACGCAGTAAGCACTAACATGCATTTGTATCCGTGACTTATTTTAAATAAAATATTTTTTGCTCATTTTTTTTAAAAAAGTAATTTTAAAAGAAAATGATATCAAGTTGTGAATAGTGTTCTGTAACTGTAAATGTAACTGTTGATCTGAATATTTATTAACTTGTTTGCTGTATTAAACTATTTTAATCGATAAATTAATAAACACAATTTCTTGTACCATTTTTATTATTATCATTTCGTTTAACTATTTGAATGGTTTTATTTTGCAATGTGATGTTTAACATAGATTTAACAAAGACCTCAATGTTTTAATTAAAAGAGTCCTTTGAGGCTAAGATGACTGCCCGTTCCATTTGCTGACCTTGGGTTACCTTTCCATGAGTGGCTCTTTGACCTTTGTGGCCCTTGGCTGACCCAAAAAGGAAGCCATGTGACGACCGCAACCTTTTCCCATTAGACCTGGGTGGTGAGGACCCCAAGGGTTAGAGACAGATGAGATTAATCTGAAATAGGTGCCTGAAAAGCTTTATTCATGTCAGATATTCAGAAAACCTTTAAGCAATGTAAGTAACATTAGTAAACTGCCTTAATTCGGTTTCTGCTTTCAAACTGTTTTTAAAATAAATTTAATTGCATGTTAATTGTAGCATAATTATAATTATGTGCATCATTTTAATTATGTGCTTGTTTTTATTTTTTTTTTTAATGCTTTGAATCTTGTAACATTTTATATAAGGGGGATTGAATTTAGCCTAGTGGGTGGGTGAATTTTTAACGTATTTGCGATCATACGGGGCAGAACAGTTTTCGTCCGGGATGTAGAGCGAGCGCTCCAATTCCCTAGTTGAAGTACTGCTGTCTGCTTGTCACCTCCTAAAGGTGGATATGGTTATAGAAGAAGCGGAAGAGATAAGTACGGTCCTCCTACCCGTACAGAATACAGATTGATTGTGGAAAATTTGTCAAGCCGCTGCAGTTGGCAAGATCTTAAGGTATGGGGCCCCTTTCTTTACCCTCTCTCTAGTAAAGAGCACAAAGGGTAAAAAAGTTAGCTTCCATTTCAGCACAGAAAAATGGTGTACAGCTGTGTTCTTGACTCTGGCTTGTTCATGAGCCTGCGTGCTCGTATGCGTACAAGTAGATTTTGCAAGTAATACACACGTTAAGTCAATATGGAAGGGTATTTGCGTATATGAAATCATGACTGCGATACTGGGAGTTGCACCTGCAGACTTGGTGTCACTGAGAGAATAACTTTTTTCCTTAAGGCAAACCGACATCACATACAGATGTGTTTTATCTTATCTTTAAGCCCTGTCAGAACAGACTTTAATCATGCCAGAAAACAACTTTAATCACGACAGTGGTAGGATTCACTAGGGATGGAGGAGTTCGCCCTTGTCACTCTGGATTTTCCTCATCAACTTGGAAGGTGCTAGAGCTATTTGGAAACGATAGCATCGTTCTTGCACAGTCTCTGTTAAGAATTTCCATGCCAGGTAAAGCTGTTTTAAAGAGAGTTTGAGGAAAAGGATGCTTCCAGAATGAGCAATTGTGCAAAACCTCTGCCAAAAGCTAATATTTTCTCAAAGTCCAAAGGAATGGAAAGTGATGCTCGGTAGCGGAAGCATTGGGTGACGCTGTGTAGCCCGCAGTACCTCCGAGTACACTGGAGGTGAAGTGTTGACTTGTGATGATCCACATCATGGATGGGGGGGCAGGACAGGGAGCAGAATCTCAATAGGAGGTGCAAAAAGGTAGCGTTTCCTTAGCCAACGTAGCAGCAACGGTTAAAAACACTTGTTCTTACAGGAACGCTTTCTTTTATGGTTCTCTTTTAAGGATGTGTAAAATTTGTTCTAAACAAACTTTGACGTAGTAGAAACGGGTCTGTAATTGAATATGTAACACTAGTTCAGGTACGTACTGAGATTCTTCAAATGTCTTTTGTTGTTAACGCTTCACACCGTCAATAGCTTGTCTTTGCTTCTGGTATTAAAAAGTGTAAGTAGAGCATGGCATGATTAATCCTCTACTGGATGCGTTGCTTTTTTTTGAAGAGCTTTCATTTCAGTGTACTAAGGTGGGAGCAGCTGGGTTGAAAATGGACTGAACCGGCGTTCTGTGCCCCATCTCTGTTGCAGCCGAAGTCTGCAGCGGCTGAAAGCTGGCCCTGTCTGACTGCTTGCTCAGAGCAGAGGCATTTAGTAATTGAAACAGAGAGGCCAGGAAGCATGAAGTGGGAAAATGAATTGAGCTTTTACTCGTGGGGGGGTTTCTTCCCGCAGAATGAGCTATGTTACCCAGGTGGAGGACGAAGGGAAGCCTGCTTGCCTGTAGTCTTCTTGCCTCTTCATATTCAACCCTTAAGTTTATCACTGTTCCCAAGTTACCTTTGAAAAAATGATTTAGAGAGCAAGCATTTTATTCACTTTCATAATTTGAAACTTATCACAGTCCAGAGCATATTTGATATTAGACTCGAGATGGGAGACCTTAAATTATCGTTTGGCTCAAAGCCATCAACACCGCCTTGGCTCTAATCACACGAACTCTTGTGAGATCGTAGTGTGTTATTTGGCTTGCTCGGGAACCGTGGCGTTAGCACTGCAAATGCTGTTTGGTTAAAACCCTTGCTGAAATCCACGTGAATAGAAGAGGCTAAGTGAGCATCGTTGCAGAAATGAACAGGGTCAGCCTGGAAGCCTGACTCTGGATTCGAGGCAATGGTTATTCTGTCCTCTTCCTCTAGGATTATATGCGTCAGGCAGGGGAAGTGACATATGCAGATGCACACAAAGGAAGGAAAAATGAAGGTGTGATTGAGTTCAAATCCTATTCTGACATGAAAAGAGCCCTTGAAAAGCTGGACGGGACAGAAGTAAATGGCAGAAAGATTAGATTAGTGGAAGACAGACCTGGATCGAGACGGCGCCGCTCTTACTCCAGAAGCCGAAGCCATTCGAGGTATGTCTCCCTACCGCATAGCTCAGGCTGAATTTAGCTGCAACTCCATGAATACACAGCAGGTTCCAAAACACCTTGGAAGTGTTCAGAGCTCTCGGAAAATGTAGTTTTTGTGAAAGTATTGGTTACCTGCAAGTAACCAAGACAACGAGGCCTCTGTTCCGAGGTGTCTTCCTCGGTGAATGTGCGTATTTGCTCACGAAATGCCCGACAGCGTTACTGTTCTTCCCCAACTACATCAAGTCCATAGTCCTTGCAAGGAGAAGGCTGCATGGCAGGTGGAGCTGTGCGTGCAGAATGAAACAGAAGGTGCTTTTAACACTTCGGCTCCGAACGCTGTGTTCTGCTGTAAGCACCGGGACTAACGGTTCTTTCGCAGCTCGGAAACCCCCACCCGTTCCCTGTTTCTTAGAGGTTTGCTGCTTTCGTTGTACGATTGAGAGAACTCCTTCAGCATGCGACACTGAGTGTCTTCCCCTTTCCATTCTGGGGTAGAACTCCTTGTCGCAAGAAAACTCTGGCAAACTTGTGCTGTTCGTAGAATGGCTTGCTTATGAGGTGAAAGCCTGAAGTCAAAGCTTTATCCTAGTGTCTCACTGTGTTCAAATTGACTCGATTGGGAAAGTGATTCTTGCTTCCTTATCTTAAATAAGGTTGCATATTTTCTTCCAGATTAGCAACCTGCTCACTTCCAGACATGGCAGCAGGGGATGAGCAGTGGGGAGAAGGGTACTCTAGGTTTGTACTTCATTGTGTAACGCTCTCACCATTTGGCTGCTTGAAAGGTTCTTCAATACTATGGGGTTTTGCCTACAGGGGACCAGGGGATCACCAGCTCTCCGCGGGCATGTACTAATGTTAAGCTGATTGATTTTTGTTCCAGGTCTCGCTCTCGAAGCAGACATTCTCATAAGAGCAGGAGCCGCAGTGCCAGTAGTAGTCGCTCCAAGAGTAGATCAAGATCCAGGTATGTCTTTGTGTTGGAAGAAGTGGGGGCTACCCACTTAAATGAGAAGCATCATCCTAAATTTGCAGCAGGAACACTTTGTTTTTCTTTTTGCTACCGTATTATGCAGAGTATTTAAGTGCCAGTCAAAGCCAAGCCGCACTAAAGCAGAGCTGTCTGTTGCCTTTGCGCTTTCAGGTCTGTGTCCCGTTCCAGAAGCAAGAGCCGTAGTCGAAGCAAGAGCCGTAGCAGAGGCCAAAAAGAGAAAAGCAGGACTCCAAGTAAAGAGGATAAAAGTAGGAGCCGCAGCAGGAGTGCAGAGAAATCCCGAAACAAAAGTAAAGATAAATCTGAGGGCACTCTCCATAACAGTGATGAGAAAGCAAAGAGCAGGAGCCGCAGCAAGGAAAAGAGTAGGAGCAGGAGTGGGAGCAAGGACAGGGAAGAGATGAGGGAGAGCATGAGGAGTAGGAGCAAGGAGAAGAGTAGAAGCAAAGACAGGGAGAAGAGCATTAGCAAGGCTAGAAGCAGGAGCAAGAGTAGGGATGAGAGTAGGAGCAGGAGCCACAGTAAGGATAAAAGGAAAAGTAGGAAGAGAAGCAGGGATGACAGCAGAAGTAGAAGCAGGAGCCGCAGCAAGAGTGAGAAAAGCAAGAGGCGCAGCAAGCGAGACAGCAAACCAAGTAGCAAGAAGAAAAGGAAGGACAGCCGCGAGCGGTCCAGGTCAGCCTCCAAAGAAAAGGAGCATCTAAAATCAGATTCTGACAAAAAGGAGGCAAAAGGCGAGGGTGAGGATGCAGCAGCACATCGGGTGTCTCGCTCCAGGTCTAGGTCGATTTCCAAGTCAAAACCAAATGTCAAATCAGATTCTCGTTCCAGGTCTAAATCTGTTTCAAAGCCTAGGTCCCGGTCCAAGTCTAGATCTAGGTCTGCCTCTAGGTCACGTTCCCGATCACGGTCAAGGTCTCGCTCCAGATCTTAACCTTGCTGCAACCACACTTGGAACGGTTGGAAAAGTCTTTTGTACATGTTCAGTAGTTGTAGCGCAAGTGATTGAAGTAGAAAACCTGTCGATGCTGTATATTTTTAACAACCCTGATGGCATGTCTGTCCCTGTTAGCTGCAGCGCTCCCGCCCTGTGATGCTCTCTGGTGCAAGGCTGTTCGGCTCATTTTCTATCCTATAGGAAGGTTCTATTTAAATATAACTCTTCCGAGAGCACCAAAACTGCCCTGTTTTCCAGGAGGAGCCTCGCAGCGCGCGAGCACTGCACCCCGGTGGGTTTTTGAGGTTGCAGTGATGGCTGATAGGTAGGTACGACGGCTTCAGCAGTCTTTGCCCTTGAATTGATGTCCTTCAATGTACACCATTTAGTGGAAGTGCTAAGTCTTAAGTTTCATACTACTTTTGTTTCATATTTTTTGGACTTACAGAGTTGTGAATAGCACAGTCAAAAGGAGAAAAAAAAAAAGGTACTTGCAGTAATCCATAGGGAAAAGAAGTATAGTTCCATATTCTGGTATTGTGACAATATCCTTGTTTTATATTAAATTTTTTTATTTTATTTTTCCCTGTCTTGCAAAGTACAGTGATTCCTGTTTCCATGAAATTTGAATAAAGACTATTTTTGCTTGATGACATTTGGTGGTGGTTCCATGCAGTCGTGTTGTGATTGTCACTGCCTCGTATTCATTGGCGTAAGCTTGAATTTGCAGAAGAGTTACTCGCAGAGAATGGGTTCTTGGTTTAGAAAGCCACTTAATATTAAATGTATCACAGCACTCGAGTACAATCCTGTTAAAATAACTCATTTCTCTGGAAAGGCTTACGGTGTTTGGAGCTTTAACATTGCAATAAGGAGAAAAATGCAGGAAAATGAACCAGAAGCAATAATGAAGGTGACAGAGCCCGTTTTCTACTCTGTATAAATGAAACGTAGCGAGCTTCAGCTCCCATAAGACAGGGAAGAAAATTTTTCACCTGCTTAACTCACTCGCCTCGAGTCAACTGGAACCCTTGCTTGTCCCACATTTCATGTGTCGAGCAGCAGATGCTGGAGGTAAGTGTGGCTGGCACGGTGAGCATGCTGTCCTGCTTTTTGCTTTGTTCGGTTCGATTGCCTCCTGTCACACCATTGGCCTTTCTTGCGGTACCTTTGGGAAACGAAAGGGGAAGCAGCATGGTGCTTTGATGGGTGTTATTCTAGTCTAGGGCCCTCAGCAGGAGAACATGAAGCCACCCCAGCTGTTCACATCCTGTTCTTTGATTTTGTGATCCCTGATGGCACGTTTGGGATTTCAGTCATGAACCATGACTTTCCAAATAGGAAGGTGGTAGCCTGACCTGGGTGGGATGAGGATGTTGCAGCCTTCAATAGCGTGAACCAGCCTTTGCTCTGGGCGCTGCGCGGCAGCCACTGTTTGTCTTAATGTCCCCCAAAAATGCAGGGCGGGGGGGATTGTAGCTTGGGGGCTTCCAATTGAACGTTCAGCTTGTGCATGGCCCTTTCCTGGAAGGGAACTGGGGTACAGAAACCCCATCTGCTCTGAATTCGCAGCCCAGGCGGGCTCTGCCGTCCCACTGGAATCCCCAGCGCGCGCTCTCCTTGTGCGGCTTCTCCACTTACACCCACGGCAATTTGGAGTTGAGGCTGGAGCCTCCCCCTGCCTCTTCTCAGCATTACTTTCCAGGAGTTTTTCCTCTCAATAAAACACCTGTGCTTGGGGGGAACCTTTATAAAAGGGAAAAATAAAAAGTGCAGGGTGTGCTCCTGAGGAGCTCTGGGCTTGGAAACACGGAAAGTGGTGGGGGCTGCCCTGCTGCCGTGTCCCCAGCATGGTCCCGAATAAAACCCCACTTTTAGGCTTGGGCCGTTAGCCAATTGCTCAAACTGAACTTTCCCCAAGCTTGTCCGTTGCATGGGTGGCTTTGAATGAAGAACCGACATCCCCAGCGCCCCACTCCGCCTGCCAGCAGCGTTCTGAAAAAATCTTCTGAGTTCTTGCTTGGTCTGGGGGGAAAAAAGAAAGGCTAGTTATGGCTTTATCAGAAAACTTTTCTTTAGCAAATTTCAAACTGCGAGCGATACTTAGGACAGCAATTCTCGCAGCGAGATATTAACTTCAGAGGTGCAAGTAATTCCGTATAATTTGATCATTTGAAACTTGTGCTCCCATATTAAAAAGATGAAAGGGCGATAGATCATAGGAGTTGCTTTCCACACCAAATATTTCCGTAGAGTTTAAGAGGGGTCAGGGCTTGGCGAGTGGCTCAGACTTTATCAAATGTTATATTACTACAGCAGTGTAAGAAAGCTCCACAGAAGCGGCATTTAATTTCTTTAGAAGGAAAAGCCTTTTTCAGCAATATATATTTAGTGCTTTAGCATCTTAGGCTCTCATAATAATATTTCTAATCCCTTTTGCTACTTAATCTTAGTACAGAAGCAAACCAGGCTAGGCAAGATGTTTGCTAATAGGGGATAATTAGCTGAAAAAAAATACCTTTAAGAAAATCTGCAAATGATAAAGTCTAGGCTAAGACTTTAAAAAGCGACTCTGGTTTTTGCTGTCTGGCTGCCAAGGCCGCTCCTAATGAAGTGAGCATGGTTTTAGTGAGCCCTTGGGGAGAAACATTACTTCCCTAAATACCTGCAGACAGGCCTTTGGAGATGGAGGTATGCAGAAAACTTTTGGCTGGGGTGTAAATTTTCATCGTGTGCAGTAAGGGACGTTCCTTGCAATGGGAAGGAGGAAAAATCCTGTGAGGTTGCGTGTGTGAGCAGCTCAGGCGCCGCTGAAGGTACGGAGCCAGCACCCGCTCTGCGGGGAGGTTTCTGTGTCTGAATAGGG